CAACTCAGAGATGTCCAAGGTTAGGCTGCCACCTAGAGCCTGCCCCTCTTGTTACAGACGTACCTTCCTGTCACATGTATGCCTCTAGTACAACCCTTCTTATTGCGTGTATACCCCTAGCTCATCCCCTTCCTGTTACGTGTATGCCTCTTGTACAATCCTTTCCTGCTATGTATGTGGGTGCCTGTGATTATATAAACTCATCATGAGATTACATTATGGTCTCTCTCTGCTAGGACCTGGTTCCTAGCTCTTGCATGCTTTATCTTGTCTGATGTCTCTTTAATTGACCCTTCAGTTACACAACTGCCCCTTGGACCCATTCGGTTGTGGGGAGGCTGGTCCCCCACAGAGTCTTGTTTCTCCTTTCAAAATAAGAAATGAAAAAATATTAGCATAGGCTTATTAGGGGGAATTGGTGTGTATATATAGAGAAGTAGAAAAGAATGTAAGCACATAAGACCTCAACAGCCTACTACCCAATACAGTTGCTGTTTAACTTGTATACACGACCTTTCTAACTTGAACTATCGCTACAGGGATACCTCAGTTGTCAAACTCAATTCATTCCAAATTCATGTTCGAATAACAAAAAGTTTGGGAAATGAATATATTTTTCCCATAAGAAATAATGGAAAATCAAATAATTGGTTTAAATATAAAAACACAATACAGCACATAAAATTAAAAAAATATATACAGGTACTAGACCTGGCCTTAGGGGCTTCTCGTCGGGAGCTGGAGAGAAACTGGAGGAGGAGGAGGAGTAGCACACTTTCTGGGGTTTTTTCTTTTGGTCTGTTTTCTCCTTTCTCACTAAAACTTTGTCTCATGTCACCTGCTTCTGCCTTCTTTTCAAAATGATCCTAAAGCGAGAGGCAGCATTTTCATTCCCCAGGCCCCCACGTCTGCCTGTCATTGCCTCTCTGGGTGAGGCTCTGTCCAGAGCGGCGGGGCCGTTTCCATCCACTTGGCACTCATTTCTTTATGAATGAACTCCGGAGGCCTCCCCCACGGCTATTTCCTCAGCTGAATCTGCTGCTGCTCCTTCTGCAGATCCGGGCTTATTCTGTCCTGCGCCCCTGCACCCTCCCCGTACTCTTCCTGCCGCTATGGGACCCTGGGCTCCTCCTCAGAGCCCTGCAGCCTCCAAAGGCTCTCCCTGTCAGGCTCTCCCTGTCTGCCACGCCGCCAAGGTCACGGTAAGGGACTTCTCGAGGGTGACCGTGATGTTCCGGGACTCTGGAAAGGTCGCCTGGGTGTCTGAGGTGATTTCGGAGCTGTACAGGTTTTGAACTGGGCGCTGACTTGCGGGTGCACGCGCGGACAGACGAGCCGTGTGTCCACGAGCAAGGAGGTCACGGCGATGGATGCGGGCGCACGTCTGGTCCCCTCGCGCTCCCTCCGGGCCGGCGGCTGGGCACACGGGCGTCGAGAGGACCGCTTCTCGGGGGCGTCCCTCCTGCAGGTCTGCGTGCACCCCACTCCGTGAGGACCGCGCAGGCACGCACCCTTTCTTTGTCCCGCATCCCGCTGGGCTTAGCTTGCAGTAGGTCTTGTTGCTGAAAAGCCCTGGGTTTTCCGAAGGGTCCACTAACTCACGTGGCTCCACGGAAAAGCCCCCGGGCACTCCCACAGCAGGAGGAGCGCACCTGCCCCAGGCTGTGCCTCCGTCCTCCGTCCTCAGGAAGGTCCAGTGGGGCATCTCCCCCAAGGAGTCCGAGCACTCGGTGGGGAAGGGACCCTTCGCCCCATGTCCTCGGTGGAACTTTCCGAGCGGCCTGCGGACACCCGGGGCCGCTCAGCGCCGCTCCTGCAACATTGTTGCTCCCAGCACCGGGAGGCTTTCGGCCTTCTCGTAGTTACGGTCTCACCAGCCAGTGTTTCGGATTACCCACGCGAACAGCCACTTTTCACCACCTTCGAGGGTCTGGGTTCTTTCTTTCGTGGTTCACGATTTCACGCCTGAATCACATCGTTTCTCAAGAATGTTGGAAATGTGGACTTGGTCATCTTGTGTTCAGCTTCCAAATCAGACAAGCAGCAACCTGATCCAAATTCCCCAGTAATTTTTTCTTGAACTCCACCGTGGCTCTCACAGCTTTCCTCTCAGCTTTCTCGGCTGCCATCGTTAATTTTCTCTGGAGCCACATGAAGCACACCCCCCCCAAAAAACGCACGGAGGAACAGTTCAACGGACTAACACCAGCACTCTGTGTTGTCTGAGCGAGAGTGGCGCCTTGGGCTCTGGGTCCGCAGTGAGATGCCACACGGCCCTACAGGTTTTCAAGTCGGATTTTCAGCTCCATAATGGAGCAAAGATAAGAACACCGGGCAGATTTTTTTGTTAATGATGCTGTTGGAGTAGCGGAAAGTTGGAGCTGGAGCCATTCGACAACCAGAAGGTGTGGGTCCTAATAGGAAACAGCATGCTATTGTTTGGCAGGAGCATAGGCTTAGACAATGGACTAGAAAAGTAAAGCTTTGGGTTTAAGAAACGCTCGTTTCCTAAAATGAAATTACCTTTCATTTTTACGATACCATGGTATTGATTATCATTTATTCCTGCATCAGTCTTTTCTCAAAAACCAAACCCATTGCCATCAAGTTGATGTCGACCCACGGCGACTCTATATGGCAGTGTAGAACTGCCCTGTGAGTTTCCAAAACTGTAACTCTACAGGAGTAGAAAGTTCTGTCTTTCTCCCAAGGAGTGACCGGTGATTTAGAACTGTTGATCTTATGGTCAGTAACCACTATGCCACCAGGGCTCCTCAATCTCCCCTGTCAGACTGGATGTGCCTCAGAAGTGACATCTAGGTCCAGATTCATCCAGCAATTATTTATTGAGTAGTTTCTGTGTACTGGACACTCGGGATGATAAATGAATGAGATATGACTCCGCCCCACAGGAATTCACAACCTAGTGGAGGAAAAGGTATAGGACAGGTTTGATGGCAAATAACCATGTGGATTTCTATCACTTGTGATAACAGGACCCTGGCTGAAATAGACCATTTCCAAGCGATCTGTGTCCCTACCTCACCTTATAGAAGAAGCCAGATTACAGGGAGACTCAAAGAGGTTCTTCACACACACTTAATCTTAGCCAAAAGGCCGAGAAATGATCACAAAGAGGTTCTTGAAAAAGAAAATCATTGTAATCAAATAGAGTCTGGCAGGATGGGTCAGATAGAACAGAAAGGCCAATGTTCAAGAAACACCCAGTAAGATAAAGGCTGGAAAATGCCCTTGGAATTTGGAAACTGAGCCCCTGGTGACTTTTTGTGCGAGCAAGGGCAGGTTGCTGGATCTGGACTGAGGCGTGTTGAGCAACAAAGGGATGGCAATATCACGGAGGCTCTTATTGGACCAGAACCCCCTCTTGAGTTGTTGGATGGTCCCCGTGAGGGGTGGGGGTGGGGATGGACCTGGTGCTAAGGTAATATTAAAGCAAGTTCTTTTTTAAAGGTACAGTACCTAACAGTTTGTGCCTACTGCCATCCAGTGGATCTGACTCCTGTGGGTCCCATGTATGTCAGAGTATAACTGTACAGGAAGACTCCAGTCAAAAAAAGATAGATAATAAGAAATGTTGCTGAGGCTGGGAGCAATTGGAACCATGGTATATTGTTTGTGAGAATGTAAAATGGTACACTTGCTTTGGAAATAAATTTTCCAGCTGCTCAAAAAGTTAAACATATTACCGCTCCTCTGTCTATACCTCAGGAGCCCTGGTGTATAGTGGTTACTAATTGGGCTGATAACCACAAGGTCAGCAGTTCAAAGTCACTAGCTGTTCTGAGAAAAACAGCAGCTTTCTAATTCGTGAAGAATTAGAATTGCAGGGGCCGTTCATCATGATAATAACATCATGATAATAACATCATGATAAATGGAGAGACAAGTCAAGGATTTTTGTCTTGTTTGGATCCATAATCAATGTGCATGGAAGCAGCAGTCAAGAGATCAAACAATGCATAGCATTGCGTAAATCTGCTGCACAAGACCTCTTTAAAGTGTTGAAAAGCAAGGATGTTGCTTTAAGGACTAGGGTGCACCTGACCATGCTACGGTATTTTCATTGCCTCGTATGCACTATATAGAGAAAACTGAAGAAAAATCAATGCATTTGAATTGTGGTGCTGAAGAATGTTGCAAATACCATGGGCTGCTAAAAGGACAAAGGGCTTTGTCTTGGAAGAAGTGCCCCTGGAGTGCTGTTTAGAGGCAAGATGGCAAGACCTGTTTTACATACTTTGGACGAATTGTCAAGAGAGACCAGTCAGTCATCATACTTGGTAAAGTGGAGGGGCTGCGGAAGAGAGGGAGATCTCTCCAGATGGATTGATGCGATGGCTGCAACAATGGGCTCAGGCTCGGGAACAAGTGTGAGGATGGCGCAGGACGTGGCAGTATTTCGTTCTGTTGTGCAGAGGGTCAGGGGCACTATGGGTCAAAACTAGACTGGATGGCCCCTAACAATAACAAATTACCATGAGTAGGGAGGAGGGGAGAAAGCAGAGTGGCTGTTAATGGGATAATGTAAATCTTCTAGAATTAGATAGTGGCGATGGTTGCATCGCGCCATGAATAGACTAAAAATAAAAACCACTAAATTTCAGTACATTTTATTTATTTAATTTTTCGGTACATTTTAGAAAGATGAATTTATGTTAGACACGTTCTACCTTAACGAAAAGCAAATTTATATTTTAAATTTGCAGCTATGGATAGAGTCCCCACCAACAACCTAGGGAGCAACCACCGAACCCAGCCAGCAGCACCTAACTGGACCTGGGCAGAGGTTCAGAAAGGCCACCACACGGCGGGGGGGGCGGAGACAGGGAAGTCCCTGCTTGGAGGCTGCTGATTGGCTGAACGCTAGGAGGGCGTGGTGGAAAGGACGCGTCCCGCGCCTCGCAGCGGGCGGGGCTGGGGCAGACCTATAGCTCGCGAGATTTGGGTGGTTCCGCATTTCGGATCGGTGGAGGGGCAAGCGGCGGGCTCCGCAGTCTCCCCGGCTGGACCCCCGGGCTCGGAGCAGGGTTTCCGTTGTCTGCCGGCACCCGGCCGTTCGCTTCCTCTCGGTGCTGCCTCCGAATCCGGTCTGCGGCGGGGGGCGGTGGCCACTCCCCGCCCCGCCGAGGAACGAAGATGAGCTTCCTCTTGTGAGTGGGGCCGCGCCGGGGGCGCCCGAGCCGAGGGCCGAGGCGGGGGTGGGTGGGGGGTCCCCGAGGCCGGCGCCGGGCCCCGGCCGGCTGCTGGCTCCTGCTCGCGTGCGCGGGGGAGGCTGGGCTGCGGGGCGAGGTTGCGGGCGCGGAAGGTGGGGGCAGAGGAAGCGGGTGGCGGCGAGTGAAGGCCCCGAGGCCGGCTGCGCCTCCAAACTTTTCCGCCCGAGCGCTCGGCGGGGCGGAGGGACCGTGTGGGGGCGGGGCCCGGGCTGCGGCCTCCCGTTCCGTCCCGGCTCCGAAAACCTTCCTAGCGAATAGAACTATCAAGAGTTTGCATCTGGTCAGTCGTGTAAGTGACTCCCGCGGGGAAGCGCCGCCTCTGTCGCGTGTGGGGAGCTGGGGACGGAGGGATCGGGTCGGAGCGAGCAGTCCAGCCGCGGCTGGGGGACTTGGGATGCGTTCACACACCTGGCTCCTCCTTGGCGGGATCCCACGCTCTGCGACGGGGTCGCACTGCCCGGCTGCGTTTCCGAGCCCGTCACCGGACGGGGAAGCCCCGTCTTTTTCTCGCTGAGCCCCTCCCTGGTCGCTTCCAACTGCTGACTTTGCAGTTAGCTGCCCAACGCGGAGCCATGACGCCACTCGGGCTTTAAAAAGCACAAACAATTCGGGGACCGCAGGTGGGGGATCAGATGGGTTGACGTTTAGAGATCCTTGCTTCAACACTCACTGGACAATTATAATGAGATTCCCGTAAGCCTTGTTTTGTTAATCATACTATCACTGTTAATCAGTCCACTGCTCTTGGGGGCCGGGGTGGGGGGCAGCCTGAGTAAGTACTCTTCTGGGGGCCTTCTTCGAGAGGAAGTAAACAGCGGCGGGGAGGGGCGGGGGGCACAGGTTTCCTGAGCCATTTTGCTAGCTGGCTTCGGTGGGCAGTTCCGAAGGAGCAGGGCAACCACAGAAATGAAGTATGGCCTTTTAAAGCCACCTTCCTACCTGCCAAGAGGCTTCCTGGAGGCTGTAAATTAGGTCTCGAGCTGCTGACCAAAAGGTGGCTGGTTCGCACCCACCAGCCGCTCTGGGAGAAAGACGAGGCTGTGTGCTCCAATAATGATTTGTCGTCTCTATATAGGGCTGCTATGAGCCAGGATCAATTCAGTGGCAGTGGGTCACACTGGCTAGTCCCAAATGAGGCTGAAATGGAAAATACCAAAAAGGAAAATACATAAATTCTCCATTGATGCTGTGTTTGGGCACCTAATTTATTGTCAAATGGCATTCTATATTATATGCACTCTGCATTGTATTAATTGCTTATATGGTTGAATAAATACCAGTATACATAATCCACATACTTGCCATTTCACGGTGAAGTGTTTCATAAGATCCAGCCAAACCCACTGTCATGGAGTTGATTCCAACTCACAATAGCCCTATCTATTAATATGGTCTCTTAGAGAGGAATGGACAGCTGCTTCTGCCCATTGGACCCCGGCCTTGTGGTTAACACAGCCCAGTGTTTACTTATAGCTCCTTTTAAAACTCACTGCTATCAAAGTCAATTCCGACTCAGTCTGTAGGCAGGGTAGAGTTGCCCTGTGGGTTTCCGAGCCTTTGCATCCTTAGAGAAAGACCCACCATTCTCACAAGGAGCAGCCAGTGGGTTTGAATTGCTGATTTTGTGGTTAGCAACCCAGCTTTTAACCTATTTCACCACCAGGGCTCAGAGCTTATTTACTTGTTTCTTTATTGTAAGAATTTTGGGTTATTTTAAGTGTTTTGCTGTTAAAAAACAGCACTACTGAGAATATCTTTGTCCAAGTTACATTTTCCACCTTTAGGTGGTTTTCAAAAGGGCATAGTTTCCAAAGTATGATGCCAAAGAGTGTATGATTTAATTTTAATTACAGATTTCCTTTCACATTACTAGAACAGTCATCCCCTCCCCAGTAATTTTTTCTTCCTACCTCCAGTCATCTTCTTCTGCATTGATGGTTAGTTCGTGGTTGGTTCGTAGATGCACCATTGCTTTTTGTTTTTTCATTTTTTGTTTTTAACTCATTTTATTAGGGGCTCATACAACTCTTATCACAATCCATACAAACATCAATTGTGTAAAGAACATTTGTCCATTCATTGCCCTCATCATTCTCAAAACATTTTCTCTCCACTTAAACCCCCGGCATTAGGTCCTCATTTTTCCCCTCCCTCCCCGCTCCCCCCTCCCTCATGAGCCCTTGATAATTTATAAATTATTATTATTTTGTCATATCTTACACTGTCTGATGTCTCCCTTCACCCAGCACCATTGCTTTTTGTATCTAAATGTGAGGCTTTTAGTTCTTTTAAATTTTGTGACAATCTGCAGTTTACTCTACGTGCTTTGATCATATTGAATCTTTATAATAGTTTTATTGAGATGTAATTCACGTACCATGAAAGTTACCTTTTTAAAGTGTACAATTCAGTAGTTTTAATATTTCTAGAATCACTCAAGCATCACCACTGGCTAATTCTAGAAAGTTTTTCATTATCCAAGACAGAAGGACCATCCATACCCATTCCAGGTTTCTCCATTCCCATAGAAGTAGATCACCCCTCTACTTTGTTTCTGTTTGTTATGTTGTTAGGTGCCATCAAGTTGGCTCTGACTCATAGTGACCTTATGTACAGCACACTGAAACAATGCCCTACCCCATCTTTACAATCAGGTTTGAGCCCATTGTTGAAACTACAGTGTCAACCCATGAGGTCTTTTGCAGCAGATTTGTCCAGTGTTTGATTTCTTGATTGCTAGGTGTTGATTGTGTATCTAAGTACAATGAGCACCAGTCTTTTCTGTTTCTATAGATTTGCCCAATGTGTCCATTTCCCATCAGTGGAATAATATAATCATAGAAAACAATTAGCATAATATTTTAGGGCTCATCTGCTTGTAAATAATAATAATAATAATGAAACAAGACACCTATTATCACATCTTTCACAAAAAATAACTAAAACTGGATCATAGCATCGATGAAACATACAACTTTCCTCTAGTTCTTGAATGCTTCCTCCCCCTACTATCATGATCCCCATTCTACCTTACAAATCCGGCTCGACCAGAGGATATTCACTGGTATAGATAAGAGCTGGAAACACAGCAAATCCAGGACAGATAAACCCCTCAGGACCAATAATGAGAGCAGAAATACCAGGAGGGGAAGGATAAGGGGGGGGAGAAAAGGGGAACCAATCACAATGATCTACATGTAACCCAACCCCACCCCCCACCCCCGGGGGTGGGGGTGGGGGTGGATAACAAAAAAGTGGGTGAAGGGAGACATTGGACCGAGTAAGACATGAAAAAAAATTAATAAATTATGAAGGGTTCGTGGGGGAGGGGAAAAATGAGTTGATATCAAGGGCTCAAGTAAAAAATGTTTTGAGAATGATGGTGGCAACAGAGGTACAAATGTGCTTGACACAATGGATTGTGATAAGAGCTGTATGAGCCCCCAATAGAATGATGTAGAAAGAAATGGATCGTAGCCCTCCATGTTAAATGTAAAAGCATGCAACTTCTAGAAGATAATGTCAGAAAACCCAGATGACCTTGGCTTTGGCAGTGAGTGTTTTAGGTATAATACCAGAAGCATGATCGATAAAAAAAGAATTTGATATGTGGAGCTTTGTTAAAATTTAAAAATTCTGTGAAAGATATTGATAAAGAATGAAAAGAGACCACAGACTGGGAGAAAATGTCTTTAAAACACAAACCTGACTATGCACTTGTGTCTAAAATATACAAAGAACCTTAAAATCTAACAATAAGAATACTTTGCACATGTGGTAAAAATGTTAATGTTACCCAAGATTTTATATAGAAAACTGAATTTCTGAGCTATGAGCACCTTGCTATTACTGGGTACCTGAAAATCAATTCCAACTCATAGTGACAAACCTCCCAGTGGAGCTTCTGGGTGGAGTCTGATGGGCAGCTTTTCAGATAAGCTGAGTGCTTAACCATCCTGCCACCAGGGCTCCTTCCTGAGAACCTTTATGCTTACTTATTCCAATTCTCTACCTTCCTCTAACATTTTCTAACAACATTTTCAGTCCGTGGAAATTGAGGCCAAAAGCAAGTTTGGTTTCTTGGGCAGTCTTTAAAAAAAATAATTTTGGGGGGCTCTTACAGCTCTTATAACAATCCATACATCCATGTGTCAGGCACATTTGTAATGTGTTGCCATCATCCTTTTCAAAACATTTTCTTTCTACTTGAGCCCTTGATATCAGCTCATTTTTTTCTCCCCCTTCCCTCCCTCACGAACACTTGAAAATTTATAAATTATTATTTTCATATCTTACACTGACCGCTGTCTCCCTTCACCCGTGTTTCTGTTGTTCATCCTCCTTGGGGGGGTGGTTCATTTTGGTCGGTTCGCCCCTTCCCCTACCTTCTCCCTACCCTCATGGTATCTCCACTTCCATTATTGGTCCTGAGGAGTTTATCTGTCCTGGATTCCCCGTGTGGAGATCTCTTATCTGTACCCATGTACATGCTCTGGCCTAGCTGGATTTGTAAGGTAGAATTTGGGTCATGATAGTGGGGGTGGGGGAGCATTAAAGAACTAGAGGAATGAAAAAAAAAAACAAAAACTAGAGGAATGTTGTATGTTTCTATACTATGTTGGTGCTAGCTCGCCCCTTCCTTGTGACCCTTCTGTGAGGGGATAGCCAGTTGTCTACAGAAGGGCTCTACGCCACCCCACCCTACCCTTCATTCCAATCATTCCAATCCATATGATTGTTCTGGATCTTTGATACCTGATACCTGATCCCATCAAAATCTCGTGATCACACAAGCTGGTGTGCTTCTTCCATGTGGGCTTTGTTGCTTCTGAGCTAGATGGCCGCTTGTTTACCTTCAAGCCTTTAAGACCCCAGATGCTATATCTTTTGATAGCTGGGCACCATCAGCTTTCTTCACTACTTTTGCTTATGCACCCATTCTGTCTTCAGCGATGGTGTCGGGAAGGTGAGCAGCACAGAATGCCAGGTTATTAGAACAAAGTGTTCTTTCATTGAGGGAGTACTTGAGTAGAGGACCAATGTCCCTGTTACCTTATTGTTTAACATGTATATACATATGATTATGCCCCTATCATTAAAATATTTATGCCTCTATAAATGTCCTTTGCCTCCTAGTTCCTTCCTCTATTTCCTGGGCAGTCTTAAGTTAGAGGGGATCAAAGACTAGAATTCAGATTTATTCTTTTGGACAAACTGACTTTCACGTTATCTCCATCTGCTCCCTGAGGCATTGTTCCTTCTAGGTGACACTAGGGTGCTAATCTTTTTTTCTTTTTTTTAGCTAATCTTTTATGTGCATAAAAAGTGTAAAGTTTTATTTGGTATGTGATTGTTTTTAAGGGAGTATTTTATTTTATAGAACAGTTGTTATGCTGAAAATCATCCCTTCCAAAAAAAAAATAAATAAAAAACAAACAAACAAAAAACAGAAAATCATCCCTTCCTAAAACTTGATATAATTTTCACCTAACAGCAGCAGCCGCTCTTCTAAAACATTCAAACCAAAGAAGAACATCCCCGAAGGGTCTCATCAGTATGAACTCTTAAAACACGCAGAAGCAACTCTAGGAAGTGGGAATCTGAGACAAGCTGTGATGTTGCCAGAGGGAGAGGACCTCAATGAATGGATTGCAGTTAACAGTAAGTCTCTAAGAACATTAAACTTAGCTGGTTCTATAAAGAGTTTGCTGGGTCTGTTGTTGCTGATTAATTTTATTTCACAGGGGTGACTGTTTTAAAGTAACATTGTAAAGCAGCACAGTAGGATAACTAGCATATCCCAAACTGCTACTTTCTTCAGAACTTTTTTCAGAGTGCTTGATCTAACAGCTTGCGTGGTTCACTAGAGGCAATTGAGGAGTATGGCAGAGGATTGGGGTAGTTTCTGAATGAGAATGCTAGGCATATCTAAGTAGCATCAAGGAAAAGATTGATGAACACCAAGGTTTCTGTTGGACCACAACAGTGGAGGGAATCCATTTGTGCCACCCCACCCCCACACTGCCAGCTCTCATCTCCCTTTGTAGGAAAACTTAAAAAGTCCATTGTACGCTGATCCAGGGCTAGTGCTTAGCGCATAGCCCTGGAAAAAAGAAATTGAATTTGTTAAAAACTTTTTTTTAATCGTTTTATTAGGGGCTCATACAACACTCATCACAATCCATACATACATCAATTGTGTAAAGCACATTTGTACATTCATTAAAAACTTTTTAATGGACATTTTTAAGCATGTAAAGAGACTGGTATAATGGATTCCCATGTAGTCATTATCCAGCTCCATCAGTGATTAATTCCTGGCTAATATGCTTCTTTTATATCTTCCCCTGATTGTTTTGAAGCAAATCCTTGACATGCTATTTTATCTATAAATATTTCATTAAATATTTCTAAAAGATACCCCTTCAAAGATCACAAGAATGACATCATCCTTTAACTGTATCATACAGACAGGTACTATTCCTATTTCCTTGATTGCTCTATAAATGGCTTTTTGTTTTCCTTGATGGTTGTTTTAATCTTGATCCAAATAAGGCCTGTACATGGAATTCTTGAATCTCTTTTAATCCATCAGTTTTCCCTTTGTTATGAGGTTGTAGTTGAAGAAAGCCAGTTGGTTGGTTTCTCTGCAGATTCTACCCCACGGCGTCAGTTGTTGTCATGTTCCAGCCTCGCCTCTTTTTCCTGTGCTTGTTAGGGCCACAGCTGTGATGCTGGGGGTGCTTGATAGCTGCATTGTGACTGTTTAGGCACAGGGACTGTGGCTGGTGTGACTGAATTTTAAATTCAATTTTAATTAATTGGAATGTAAATACCCATATTTGGCAAATGGCTCCCATGTTGAACAGGAAGATCTAGAGTCTGGATCAAATTCATGTTCATACTGTGTTTGTTTACTTGGTTGGTTATAAGATTACTTCATAGGGGTTAGTTTATATATCCATCACTGTAGATACTACCATAGCATCTCGTTGTATTCTGATGTGGCATTAAGCAGCTATTCATAACTATTCTTTGATCAGTACTACCCAGTAGAAGTGTAATGGGAGCTACATATGTAATTAAAGTTTCTTTAGTAGCCACATTAAAACAAACAAAAATAACATAAATTGACTTTCCTAATATATTTTATTTAACCTAATATTAAGAAGCCCTAGTGGTGTAGTGGTAACTCATTGGTAACTCAGTGATCCAGATCGTTGGCAGTTCGAAACCAGCAGCAGCTCCTCCGGAGAAAGACTGGGCTTTCTAAGAACTCTGGTAACATTTACAGTCTCGAAAACCCACAGCGGTTGCTATGAGTCAGCAGTGACCTAATGGCAGTGAGTTTTTAAAATTTTCCAACCTAATCACTTCATTTCAACATGTTAGCAATATAAAAAATACTTTTCTAATATAAAAGTTATTAATGTTATACCTTCAGGGTTTTGTTTTTTTTTAAATTAAGTCTTCCAAATCTGGTGTGTACTTTACACTTACCACACATCTCATTTCTTTTTTTTTTTTTAATGTTTGGGTAAAAATATATTTTTCCCGACTTTATGTCTTGGCACTATTGATAAGTTACCTGTCCATCACTCCCCTACCTTAATAGACACCAAATTACTGAGCTTGTTTGCTACATGGTTACTTCCATACTCGAAACAATGATATGTTTCACATCAATACAATTATTATTTTTTTTTAAAGACAAGTCTAACATGCAGCTGACATACATGACAATTCGGCATTAACATTGAAAGTAGATTATACAATTTTAAAGAACACAATGGTTATTTCCACATCTCGTTCCACATCTGACTGCACATTTTAGGTGCTCCGAAACCATGTATGCCACCTATTAGTTACCACATCAGACAAGGCAGACCTAGAGTCATTAATTTATTAGAGGTTGCAAAATGATCATACTCTAGTTCTATCAATACACACACATGTGTGTATAAAAATTAAAATGCTCTATAAAAAATAACTTTTCCCTTATCTAACTATTTGGTAATCCTGATGTACAAGTTAAACAGAAAAGTCATTGTGGTAGACAGAATGGCTCTCCAAAGATGTTTGTGTCTAAATGCCTAGAAACCTGTGACTATGTTACCTTATATGGAAAAAAGGATTTTATTAGATGTGGTTAAGGATCTTGGGATAGAGCTGTAATCCTGGGTATTTGAGGGGTGGTAGTGATTATTAAGTGCAGCTGGTTCTTTTTCAGTTTGTAATAAACCCATATGATAGAGTGACTGCCCCAGAGGATTTTCTAGACCATTAGGTGTTGTTGCTTTTAATTTTATTTATTTTGTGTTTGAGATAGACACAGCAAAACTATACATTCAACAAATTCTCCGTGTACAACTTAGTGACGTTGACTAGTTCCATGGTGCAATCGTTCTCACCCTCCTTTTCTGAGTTGCTCCCCCCATTCACGTGATCTCCACTGCCCATGGGGTTCTTAAATTACTGTTAACAGTTTGATCCCACATAAATAATTAGCAGAAAAGTAATATAATGCTCACAGCAGACACTTTTTACTAGCTAAGCTAAATTCTTGTGTGGTTTTAAGAAGACTTCGTGGGCTAGGTTGTCATCCTAATGGGATGCCCAGGTCTTTCTCCCTTGGAGTTGCTGTGGGAGTCAAACCACCAGCGGCCTGCTGAACAGCCTAGCACTGACCTTGTACCACCAGGGCTGAACTTGTACCATGAGGGCTCCTTGCACAGCTAAGCAGTCCCAGATCTGGAGTGATTGGTACTCCAACTTAGGGATGTGAACTCAGAATGGCACCATGAAAAACTTGGCAGACCCTCACCCATGGAAGCAACCATTTAACTGGTGAAAAAATAAACAATTTAAGCATAAGAAATAGACTTAGTGGGGTCTAGAAAATTGAGATGTATTTATGCAATAAATTACTAAATCTCAGCAAGGAGAGTGGGGAGTCTTTGGGTGGGTTTCTTATATTCTTTTTGTTGTGTTGTTGAGTCTGTGGTATTTAAGAAAGGACTTACTCCCATCCCTTACCTGTACCCCTACCTCCAGATCTGAATTACAGATACAGATGCTGTCCAGAAAATGGGAGGCTCACTTTAGCCACTGAGCCCTGGAGTTGTAGTTGGTTGTACATTGGGCTGCTAAACTCAAGGTCAGCAGTTCAAATCTCCCAATGGCTGGCTCCTTGGGAGAAAGGTGAGCCTATCTACTCCCATACAGATTTATCGTCTGGGAGGTACAGGTCTACTCTGTTTCTTGGGTTGATATGAGTCAGAATTGACTCAGTGGCAATGAACTTGGCTTGAGATTTCCGTTTCCCCCTTAGCTCCTGGTTGTAGGCCTATGGTTTTACCCCAGGATGGCCCATTGACATCTCTCATTCCTTACTTTGGCAGCTACTCTTAGAAGACAGGGGTCAAGCCAAGAGACTGGCTTCTACCATGCATGCGTCCCCTCCTCCCAATCCCAACTCCCACTCAGCATGAGACAATTAAGAGAAGGCTAGTAGCAACAAACTGAATGGAAGACCAACCAGATATTCAAAAAAGCTGGAGAAGGAGCTAAAAAGGGCCCTGCTGTGAGGTGTACCTACACCAGACTATACCTGCTCAGGTACAACTAAAGTGGACCCTTGAGAGTTACGAGTCCCTGAATGTGGAGCAGACTCAAGAGCATTCCCAGGCCTCAACAGACCCATTAGCAAAGGGAAGAAACATCAGCCCATCTCTGACTGACTGACTTCTGCCTAAACTTGGAACGAATGGGGACGCACACTCTACTGGAACTCGCAGGAAGCCATGCTTAAAGACCGGGTTGTGCGGTAAATGGTGACATCACAGGCTGCACACTGCAGGGGGAAGGAAATAAAACCCACAGAATTAGTCCAGGCAAGCTGATAAAGAAAAAACACCAACTGCGGGTTGGGAGAGAGGCAGTCAGAATGCAGTGTTGCTGTAATATTTTATCTAAAGTGTCCAGTTTTTAGCAGTAAAAAAGAAAAATCAAGAGTTGCAAAGAAACAGGGATACTATGACTCATGTTCAGTTGGGGGAGGGGGGGAGGGTCCTACTTGTTAGACTTAGCAAGATAAAGCCATTTACAAAGTAAGCCATTGTAATACATCATTGGAGTGCTGGAAACCATGGTGAAAGAGTTAAAGGAGCCCTGCTGGCACTGTGGGGTAAGTTTGGGACTGCTCACTTAAATGGTTGGCGGTTCAAAGCCAACTGCTCTGTGGGAGAAAAATGAGGCTCTACCCCTACACTGATTTGCAGCCTCAGAAACCCTAATAGGGTCAGAATTGGCTCGTTGACAATGGGTTTTTATTCATTATTTTATGATGAAAATGACTCATCATATAGATAACATCAATAAAGATAAATTACTCATCATATAGATAACATCAATAAAGATAAATTACTAAGAAGTACCAAATGAAAACTCTGGACTTGAGGAAAATAACTAATTAAAAATTCACGAGGAGAATGGCTCATTTATATATATTACATATATTTATATATTTGAGCTGGTAGAACGAAGAGTTGGCAAGCTTGAAGACACAACATTAGATTTTATCCATTCTGAAACATGGATAAAAGCTTAATGAAAAACAAACCGCCCCAGAAACCTGGGCATACCATTAATTAAACACATGA